GCTTTTGACCTCTCTGCCAAGGGGAACAGGTTTCCCCATCTACTCTGTCTCTAATCTTCCCAATTATGTAAACCTCAATCATGCTGCCCCTCGGCCTTCTCTGTTCCAAAGAAAACAATCCCAATCTCTCCTTGTAGCTACAATTCTGCAGCCGTAGCAGCATTCTAGTAAATCTTCTCTGCACTCTTTCCCAAGCAATTATGTCCTTCCAGTAATGTGGTAACCTGAACTGCATATAATACTCTAGCTGTGGTCTTACCAGTGTCTTAAACAGTTTCATCATTATATCCCTACTTTTGTGTTCTACACCTCGGCCAATGAAGGAAAGCATTCTTTACAACCTTGTCTACCTGTACTGGTACCTTGAGGGACCTGTGCACTTGCATGCCAAGATATCTCACTTCATCAATCCCTCTGTTTATTACCATTTATGGTGTTATTCCCTTTTTATTGTGTGACCTCCTACAATGCATTACCTCTCACTTCTTGTGGTTGAACTCCATCTGTCCACTCCTCCAACCCATCTATGTCATTTTGGAGCTCACAGCTATCCTCTAGGCTATTTAATGAACGACGAATATTCGTGTTGTCTGCAAATTTCCCAATTGTGCCCATTATGTTCAGGTCCAAGTCATTAATGTACAAAACAAACACTGAGCCCTGCAGAATGCCACTTGAAATAGCTTTCGATTCCCACCCATCGCCTGATACTAAGCTAACTTTGGGATTTATTTCGACAAATTATCCTATATCCCATGGGCTTTTACTTTTTTTGACTAGTCTGCCACGTAGGACTTTGTAAAGTGCCTTACTAAAGTTCACGTAGACAACATCCACTGCACTACCGTCATTGAGCCTCCTTGTCACTTCCTCACAGACTTTAATCAAGTTTGTCATGCGTGGCCCATCCTTAACAAAGCCATACTGACTATCCCTAACTAGTCCATGCCTTTCTAAGTGACGTTTATTCGACTTCTCAGGATTGATTGTAACAATTTGCCCACCACCAAAGTAAGACTAACTGGCCTAAAATTGTTTTGTATTTCCTTCATACCCTTTGTAAATAACAGAATCGCATTTGCCTTCCTTCAGTCCTGTGGCACCTCACCTGTGTCTAGTGAAGATTGCAAAATAATCCTCAGAGCATCTGCTAATTCCTTTCTGACCACCTCTGACATCCTAGAGAACAATCCATCCGTCCCTGGTGACTTATCCGCTTTCAAGGATTTCAATTCCTCTACCACTTGCTGTCTCATTATAATTATTTTTTCAGTATTTCATACTCAGTTCACATTCATATTTCCTCTTGGATTAGTATATTCACATCATCCTTTGCCTTTGTGAATTAATTTAAAATTTGTTCAATATCCTGTACATCTTCACACATCTTCCTTCCTCCTCCTCCAATGGATGCCACTTTTACCTCAACTATCCTTTTGCTCTTTATATACTAATAAAACATATTTGGGTTTTCCTTTATCTTGCTTGCTAGTGTTTTTTCCATGCCCTGTCTTTTGAGTTCCTAATTTCATTTTTTACTTGGTCTCTATACCTTCTATACTCCTCTTGGCTATCTGCAGTGTTGAGTTTTTTTTTGTGACTAACATAAGCTTGTTTTTTTTTTTTTTTTTTTTGGATTAATCTTTCTCTGTATTTTTCTAGACAACCATGGGGCCTAGATTAGACAGAACCATTCTTATTTTTGGAGTGGACGTGTCTGCTTGTGCCCTAAAGACCTCACTTTTTACTGCCTACCACTGGTTTATCCTTTAGCTGTCCTGTCCAGTCCACCTCAGCCAAATCACTTCTTCAGTTTTGTAAAATCCTCCCCAATTAAAACATTTATTCCTGGTTTATTGCTGCACCTTTTCCATAACAATACTAAAGCTAACCAAATTGCAGTCACCGTTGCTGATATGGTTGCCCACTGTCACTTCATCCACTTGTCCATATTCATTTCCCAAATCTAAATCCAGAACTTTCTCCTCTTGTTGCAGTATAAATACCTGGACACAATACATGAATATTTCACCCTCAATGCCCCTTTTATTGTTTCCCTTAAACTCTCCTAATTATTATTACCCTCTTATTCCTACAGGGACATGTCTACATGTATGCTCTTCTACATGTTTTTCTATCACCCCCTCACTATTTGGGGACTGTAGGATGCTCCTAGTTGTGTGACTGCTCCTTTATTTATTCCTAAGCTGAACACACACAGCTTCATTGGTCAACCTGTTTTGAATATCATAGGTTCTCATAGATGTAATTGATTCTTTAACCAATACCGCTACCCCCTCCTTTTTTAGTCACCAATTCTATCCTGCCTGAAAGCTCTCTATCCAGGGATATTGAGCTGCCAGATTTGCCCCTCCTTTAACCAGGTTTCCATTTTAACAACAACATTGTGCAGCCACAAGTTTATCTGTCTCCTTAGTTCATCTGCCTTGTTTGTAATACTACTTGCATTGAAGTATAAACAACCCAACTCCATCAATTTCCTCTGCTGGAAACTTTTTAATCTTCATTTTTTTTTAGTCTTTCCAAGTCTCTGACGACATCACAAATGTTCTATCCTCCTGTTTCCTGATCTGAATCTGACCCATCTAAGCACATACTTTGGTTCCCATGCCCCCGTCTGTTAGTGAAGTTTAAACTAGTAAGAACTAGCAAAAGCCCCTGCGAGGATATTTGTCCCAGCTCTGCCCAGGTACAACCCGTCAGGCTTTTATAGGTTCTGCCTTCCCCAGAAGCAGTTCCAGTACCTTCCTGGTATTTTCCCAGCCACACATTCATTTGATTTTATCTTCTTATTCCTGCTGTCACTAGCATGTGGCACTGGGAGTGATCCTGAGATTACTACATTTGAGGTCCTGCATTTTAATTCATTTCCTAACTTCCTATATTCAGCTTTTCAGGTCCTCATTCCTTTGTTTAACTATGTTGTTGGTACCGACGTGTACCATGACCACTGGCTGTTCATCATCTCCCTTCAGAATGTTCTGCAGCTGCTCCATGATATCCCTGACCCTGGCACCAGGGAGGCAACGTACCATCCCTGATTGATGGCTGTGGCCACAGAAGCACCTGTCTGTACTCCTTACTGATGAATCCCTGTCACTATTAACCCACCGCTCATTTTCCTGCCCTTCTATGCAACCGAAACATCTGTGGTGTAATGAACTTGGCTGATGCTGCTTTCCCCTGAGCGACCAAGCCTTACAACAGTATCCAAAGCAGTCCAACTGTTGGAGAAGGGGATTGGGTATCATCAGAACTGATGAGCTCCTGACGTCAATACAATCTTGGTCCATCACCTACAAAAGATGCTTAGCCCCATCTGTCATGATTCTGCTGTCTGGTGTGCTGTAGTCCTGAATTGTGCCTTTGCTAGGTTGACATCTTATTTTTAGGTAAGCCTGTTGCTTGCTTCTGACATGCTGTCTCCATTGAAACAATGTTGGTCCCCAGTCTTGATGGTAGTGATAGCCTGCAGGAAATACCAGGCTTTGAATTTACACACTATGGTTGAATACAATTCTGCTGACGATGCATAGATTTGGTGCAGTAGACATGTTTGAGGTTATCCTGTTTCTCGCAGTGATAGTGTTAGAGAACACAATGCAGGGCATCTTCGATGTGTGATTGTGTTTAATCAGATTGGTCTTTGTCACGGTGGAATATTGATTCATTAGTTAAGAGGTTGGTAGGGTGGTGGAGAAAAGGTGTTGGTATTCCTTCCCGATGTTTGAATCGATGACATGAGACATTATGGGATTTATGGGGTTCAAAGTTGATGTTAAGAACTCCTAGAACAACTCTCTTCCACACACACTGATGATTCTATCGTACCAGTGAGACAAGCCATCCCAAGGGATGGTGATGGTTGTGTCTGACATGTCAGTAACATGTGATTCTGAAAGTATGATGGTTAGGCTATTGTTTGATTAATCAGTGCGGCTCTCCCAATTTTGGCACAAACCTCAGTGTTAGTAAGGAGGATATTGCAGGGTTGGTAGCTGGATTTACTCATGTCTGTGGTTCCTATATCTATGCTGGATGGTTCCTCTTATTCCTTTCTTAAGACGTCATGGTGCTTTTGATATTACTGAATGGCTAGCTAGGACATTTCAGAGAAATTAAGAGTGAACCACGTTTTTGTGGGTCTAGAGTCATGCATACAGGGCACATTAGGAAAGGGTAGCAGGTTTTGATGGCCAAATGGAGCACATTAACGAATCAAATTATTAAGTTATTTCGTGGTCTCTTTTGGACTCCCTTTTCATGCCAGATTTATTCAGTTTGAATTTCTCCATGTGCCATGATGACATTCAAGCCAATGTCCTAGACCTCTGAATGACCAGTGCAGTGACATTACCACTGGCTACCAGCTCCCCTACCTCCTGAACTTTCTTTGTAGAGTTGTTTTCAGTATGGTCAAATTCACAAGACAACATGCAGACGCTAAAATGTAAACTACGTTTTGGTGACAGAATTTGCAGTTATCAATGTCTCAGGATATCCCACAGGACTTCATAGCTATTGAAGTACAGTCACTGAAGTAATGTATTGGAATGCAGCATTCCTTTTTGTGCGCAGTAAATCTAAATTAAATTCATATACTCAATGTACAGGAAGGAAATGTTAAATAGATTTCTAAATTTAAATTTTTTGTCTGAATCCATGGTTATTGTGCAAGAGAACTGATCGAGACCAGTTTATTATTCACCACCCCTGTTAATAAGTAAACCTTATTGCTAGTATGCATGAGAGTTTTTCATTATTTATAGTGCATGGTTTAGGTTGACAAATGAAGATAACACTTGTTGAATCAGTATAAAGGAATTGCAGGTAAGGGGAAGTATTTTATACCGCAGGGTTTTTGGACTAGCTGACTTAATATTGGTGACTCTCCCATTCTGGTTTTTTTTAAAGAAAGTGCTACTTTTTGAAACAATGTCTCTGGTTGGTACCACATGTTAGATTCATATACTGAATGATTTGAAAAACTTTGTTTTACAGACCCATCTCTCCTGAGCCTTAGTCGACTGTGGTTTCACTTAAGCTTGAAAAAGGGAGGTATCAAGTTGGTAGGTTAAAATATTTACTCTAATCATACCAAATTTCTTTGCTTTTCTTAATTCAATGCTGTAATTGTAAGTTTGCTGTGACTGAAGTTAACAGGTGAATGTTTCATTGGCTAATAATTCTGCCTGATTTTCAATTGGGCATTAAGCTAATGCACCATTGTTATTAAACTTTGTGCGTTATAGTAGAAGAAGCTTAACGTTATAGTCTTACATCCTTGAATCTAATGAGTTGGCATAAGACCGTGGGTTATCAACTGATCCTGTCCAATAAAACACGTTGTCTGGTCATGGGTTGTTTTGAGTCTGACCTTTAGATAAGTTAGATATATAGGACAGATTTTAATTCTGTAAGTGAACAGTGTTGAATTGGATTGAAACTGGGCCCGTAATAAAATGTACTTTTGACTTCAATTTTGAACAGACGTACAAAGTGGCTTTTCATTAACATTTATTTCTGTTTCCGTTTTTGGCTTGTCCTTTGATCTGTCATTCTGCTTTTTTGCTTGGTCATTGTAGCTATATTTTTCTAGGAAATAAAACCATTTTATTTAACAAGTAAACAAAATGCATGTTTTCGTATCCCCCTCTTCTGTGAGAGTTTCTTCTTGTTTTGAATACTCCCATGAGGGCATGGAATTGGATTCCTTGCTTTGGTTCAAAATCAAACTTCAGTGCACCAGTGTCATGATGTTACCTGTGTATGAGGGTGTAAGAGAGCCACTGTTCTGGTTTAGTTGGGTTCAAATGCTGCATTCTGAATGAATAATCAACATGTCCTTTAGTTATCTTTGCACATGTATATAGATCCAATTGGCTATATGGTTTCGACTGATAAGCTACTGTTCTGTGAAAAAGGTACATCAACTTAATTTTTGTTTCAATCTTCTTTTTCCACTGTAGAAGTGCAGTTCATTTTAGGCAAAAATACTAAATATAAATTTTCAGGAGGGCTCAGGCCTAAAACTGTACCGAGTGCTACGTGACAGAATTGTAAGCCAAAAGCTGGTGTGACCAAGTTAAAGTGCTAACTAAATTAACAATCAAATTCTAACCAACTAACTCATTGACTTAGCATGTTAACTAGCAAAGACTGAACCCCACACTCCACAATTGGCTAATTATTCAAGTGAAAATTCAGAATAATAGATTGCTAAGCTAACTGGTTTATCAGGTAATCTTGATTTACAAACCTGATCACCAAGTTTGGCATATTCCTTTATTATGTGGTGTTACTTTCTAATATATTCATTACAAGTAATTTCTACACGCTCTAAACTTCTGAGTTCTGAAGGAGAGTCATACCATATCAGTGTTAATTCCTGTTTCTGTCTGCACAGATGCTGCCAAACCTGAGTTTTCCTGGCATTCTCTGTATTTATTTCCATACTCTGTTTTGCCCTGTGCTTAGTGGAATAAGCTCATTGCTTTGTGAATTGGGTCACTTGTTAAATATATTTTGACTTTGTGTTAAAAGGGCTTTATTCTTGAAGTTATCCAATCAGTATATTTAAATGCTATGTGTTATGATTGTCAGCAAAGTTGAGGCCAGTGGAATGAAATGTACAGTTGCAGTATGGATATAAAGTGGCCTGAAGGGTGTTACGGTGCAGTGGTAATTGTCTGGCCTTCCTCTGGGTCAGAAGGACTGCAGGTTCAAGTTCCACCTACCCTAGATGTGTATTAAAATGTGTTGAAGCAGGTGACTGTGAAACAGTGCTTTATATAAAAAGACTATATGTTTTCTGGAAGGAAACCATTAATTTTCGTATTTCAGAGACTGAAACTGAACATTTCTATCACTGTGCCTTCTGTGTTCCAAAGAGATTAAAATTGAGGCAGCGTGATTGTTAAACCGTATCATTAAGCCCCATCAAAAACAATTGATTGAAAGGCTATGAATGGAGCCTGTTCCTACCCATTAGCAAGTAACCCAGACAATCACCTGAGTACTTAGCTATAGGGAGATAAACCATTAGACATAGTTACTTGGGCTGTGGGAGTCTGCGTATGAAATACATCTATCCAGATAATACCTAAACATATAGGAAGTACACCTGGAATCCATTGTACGACAGCCATACTTTGGATAACTGGGCATGTGGAGATAGGAGGAGACAGAGCAGGTTGTGTGACAAGCCAGCTAACCTTTTGTGTATTTAAGCACCTGTTTTCCCTGCAAATGAGGTGCTGAAGTAGAAAGATCCGTTGTGATTATGTGCGTCTATGTGTGTCTCACTCTCCGTCCAACTTGCAAGTGTTGAAATTTCTCTACAGTTTTTAACTCTCCATGTGCCACAGAGATTTTTAAGAATAACTCAATCCAACACTTGCTTTCCTCAAAAGAACAAACAATTTCATCCATCTGTATCTTCAAACGATCTTAATGCTGAACTTCGGAGGATCACCATGTTCAGCCTCGAGTCAGTCAAGTTGCCAACATTCAACAACTCTTCTGCTTCACTGGAAATTAAATCCCTTAATTTATTCTCCCAGGGCAATTGTAAAGTGAGTACAGAACCAGAGAGATCTGGCATGTACTCGCACAAATTGAAGTTGGCAGCTCAAGTTTTAAGATGATTGAAAAGATATACAGGAGTGGGAAGATCCTGGGCTTTTATGAACTGATTTGTAGACTAGAAAAACAAAGATTTTATGATAAACCTTTTAAAAACACAATTTTGGCACAGCATTTTAGGAAGGGCGTAAAGCCTTTAGAGAAGGTGCAGAAAAGATTTGAGTGTTTCCAGGAGCAAAGGATTTCATTTTGAGCTTAGGTTGGAGACATCGGGGCTGTGCTTCTCAGGTGGAAAGAAAATTGAGGATATTTGCTAATGGTATTCACAATCACGGGATCTAGACAAAAAAGATAGACTGTTCATTTTGATGGGTGATGAATGTTAAAAGCCAAAGATTTAAGGTCCTTGGAAAAGTGCTTGGAGCCAGTGGGGAGGGGAAAATAACCTTAATGTAACAAGTGGTTAGGATCTGGAATGAAGAAAATGGTGAAGGATTCAGTTTTGGCTTTGAGACCAAATTGGGTTAGTATCTGCAGGTCAAAAATTTTATTGCGTAGTTATAGGCACAAGGCAGTGGAGCAGAGCTAGCGGACTGAATATCTGCCTCCTCTGCTGTGCAATCATTCTGTGACCCAAAGGGGTGTGTTTACGGTGGAGTTCTCAGTTTACATTAAACAATGTGATAGGTTTGTGCACTGTTTGTAGTCAATTGGACATCTCAAGTCTTATTCTTTCCAGTTGATGCCAGTGTTTTGGCTCCATTTAAATATATTTAGACTCAGTTTCTTAAAGCTTTGGCAAGTTCCAGCCTCTTAAAGCATTTCACTCCTGACTGTGTGACACATCTTGCATACAGTGAAAGCTTGTTTTTCTCTGCTTCCTTCTGTTGCCATCCAAACTGTCACCTTCCCAACATTCAGTTGTGAAGTATTGGTGCTGCATGTTTTAACTACCGTACTTCTGTATGGTGTAATTTGTTTTGGTACAGGGTGCTTGAGTTGTGATTTAGCATCTTAAGCTCAAACATTTCTTTGAGTGGACTTGTTGACATAATGGATAAAATGGTAAGTTTTTTTTTTGTTTTTGCACTTACCGTACAGGCCTACTGAATGAGATTTTTCCCTTCCTTCCTTCCTTTCATAAAACTTGTGAATTGTCAATCTCAGAAGTCAACTGTGGCATGTTATCTTTCTGTGGAAAACTATGCATGTTAACAGCTTATAAATTGACTTATTTAAAAAAGTAAAAGCATGCAGCTGAAGGATTTGTTTTTCCATATTAGAATGGAATGTTATTTGGGATACGTGTGTGGAATCTTGAAGTACATTTGATTCCTTTTGAAAGGAGTCTCTGGACTTGGTCAGGACTCCAAATTATTTATTTTTCTTGTTGCAGCAATTGTGTATAAAATCTTTTGTATAACTTATCGTTACATTTGGGCGGGAATTTTGTGGGTAGACTTCTGATAGTATAAAGCCCATGCAGCTGAGGCAACTTAAACAGTCTGCTGGGACTGTTGGACCACCTTTCTTGTTAGCATCAACTGTTTGTGATCGAGTGTGAAATTGGTATCACCGTGTGTATCGTGCTACAGATGGACTTGTAAAATTTAATGAGTATATAAGAATGTACGTAAGAGTTAGGAGCAGGAGCAGGCCATCCGGCCCCTCAAGCCTGCCCCACCATTTAATAAGATCATGGCTGATCTTTTTGAGACTCAGCTCCACTTACCCGCCCACTCACCATAACCCTTAATTCCTTTACTGTTCAAAAATTTATCTAGCCTTGCCTTAAAAACACATTTTTGAATATTTCTACTTTCTATGTTAAGTAACTCATTGGAATAAAATTTTGTCCTCAACCTGATCAGGCAATTTCTGGTATTATGACTGAAATCATCTTATCCATATCATTACTGGGGAACATGGTGGCTTAGTGTCAGGGACCCAGGTTTGAGTGCAGCCTCGGGCAATTGTCTGTATGGAGTTTGCACATTCTCTGTGTATCCGCATGGATTTCTTCCTGGTGTTCTGGTTTCCTGTGTCCAAAGATGTGCATTTTAGATGAATTAGCCATGCTATATTGCATGGTGCCTAGGGATGTCTAAGCTGTGGGGGTTAGCTATGGGAAATACAGGGATGGGGTGCCTCTGGGTGGGATGCTCTTCAAAGGGTTGCTATGGACTCGATGATGGGCTGAATGGCTTGCTTCCACACTGTAGGGATTCTATGATTCTACTGAATTTTGAGTCTTGCAGCTCATTGGGATCCATTATTGTACTTTTTCATTGACTGGAAAGCAGTTTTGAAGAGTCCTGTTGGGAATATAACTCTGGATTCGGGTTGGAAAGCTAACTCATGAAGTTTGAAGTCAGGCAATACGATACGGATGATTTCTCCTGGCTGGGTTTTGCACTAAATGTGTTCTAACATCACCCTGGCCCGAAGCTGCTTTTAAAAATAACCAACCTGTTAACGCAATTCA